AGGCTGAGCATTCAGTGCCCATGAGAAGGTGGAGGTGAGCTGTGCTTTGGAACTGTAGCAGACTGTGTAGTCCTCTGAGTGTTGTTAAGAAGGTTCTCCAGGATATAGACCCATCGGTGACGAAGGTACAGTAACATATTTCCCAGTCAGGATGCAGTGTGACTTGGAGGGGAACTTCCCAGTGGTGGTGGTACTCATGTGTTTGCTGACCTTGTTTGTCCATGGATTGGACATCGCGGGTTTGTTGAAGTCACCAACAATACTAGAAATCACATGAAACATTACACTGCACTGAAAACTATTGAAAAGTCAAAAGTTTAATGATGTTGAGAAGTGTTTGTCATTTCAGCTATTGACTGGAACCAATAGTAACTGAAAGCACCTTTCATCGCTTGTACATACATGTTAGTGTATATACAATGCAACACACAATGGTACTTGTTAATCTCCACTTTGCTTTGGTCAACCTTCCAAAGTTTGCTTTACAGTTCAGACCAGATTTTCCCATCAAAATGCTAATTACCCTTGAGATATTTATGCTGTGTATTTCCCAGACTTGGTTTATAAACCACAACATGCCTCTTTGTGGGGTTGCAAAGGTCAGCTATTTAAATAGTACTGGCATTAATTGTTTAGTGGGGAAGATAGTAGAGTAGTGGCAATATCATTGGACTACTAATCCAGAATTCCAGGTTCTGGAGAACATGAACAAAAAACAAAGAAAATTACAGACAGGAACAGGCCCTTCGGCCCTCCAAGCCCGTGCCGATCCAGATCCTCTATCTAAACCTGTCGCCTATTTTCCAAGGATCTGTATCTCTCTGCTCCCTGCCCATTCATGTATCTGTCTAGATACATCTTAAATGACGCTATCGTGCCCGCCTCTACCACCTCCGCTGTCAATGCGTTCCAGGCACCCACCACCCTCTGCATAAAGAACTTTCCATGCATATCTCCCTTAAACTTTTCCCCTCTCACCTTGAAATCGTGACCCCTAGTAATCGAGTCCCCCACTCTGGGAAAAAGCTTCTTGCTATCCACCCTGTCTGTACCTCTCATGATTTTGTAGACCTCAATCAGGTTCCTCCCTCCACCTCTGTCTTTCTAATGTAAATAATCCTAATCTACTCAACCTCTCTTCTTGGCTAGCGCCCTCCATACCAGGCAACATCCTGGTGAACCTCCTCTGCACCCTTTCCAAAGCATCCACATCCTTTTGGTAATGTGGTGACCAGAACTGTATGCAGAATTCCAAATGTGGTCGAACCAAAGTCCTATACAACTGTAACATGATGTGCCAACTCTTATACTCAATACCCCATCCAATGAATGAAAGCATGCCGTATGCCTGCTTGACCACTCTATCCACCTGCGTTGCCACCTTCAGGGTACAATGGACCTGAACACCCAGATCTCTCTGTGCATCAATCTTCCCCAGGGCTTTTCCATTTACCGTATAGTTCGCTCTTGAATTAGATCTTCCAAAATGCATCACCTCGCATTTGCCTGGATTGAACTCCATCTGCCATTTCTCCGCCCAACTCTCCAATCTATCTATATTCTGCTGCATTCTCCGATAGTCCCCTTCACTATCTTCTAATCCACCAATCTTAGTGTCATCTGCAAACTTGCTAATCAGACCATCTATACCTTCCTCCAGATCAATTATGTATATCACAAACAACAGTGGTCCCAAAACAGATCCCTGTGGAACACCACTGGTCACAGTTCTCCATTTTGAGAAACTCCCTTCCACTACAACTCTCTGTCTCCTGTTGCCCAGCCAGTTCTCTATCCATCTAGCTAGTACACCCTGGACCTCATGCGACTTCACTTTCTCCATCAGCCTACCATGGGGAACCTTATCAAACGCCTTACTGAAGTCTATGTATATGACATCCACAGCCCTTCCTTCGTCTATCAACTTTGTCACTTCCTCAAAGAATTCTCTCAAGTTGGTAAGACATGACCTTCCCTGCACAAAACCATGTTGCCTATCATTAATAAGCCCATTTTCTTCCAAATGTAAATAGATCCTATCCCTTAGTATCTTCTCCAGCAGCTTCCCCACCACTGACGTCAGGCTCACCGGTCTATGATTACCTGGATTATCCTTGCTACCCTTCTTAAACAAGGGGACAACATTAGCAATTCTCCAGTCCTCCGGGACCTCACCTGTGCTCAAGAATGCTGCAAAGATATAAATTAAGGCCCCAGCTATTTCCTCTCTTGCTTCCCTCATTAACCTGGGATAGATCCCATCCAGACCTGGGGACTTGTCCACCCTAATGCCTTTTAGAATACCCAACACTTCCCCCCTCCTTATGCCGACTTGACCTACAGTAATCAAACATCTATCCCTAGCCTCAATATCCGTCATGTCCCTCTCCTCGGTGAATACCAACGCAAAGTACTCATTAAGAATCTCACTCATTTTCTCGGACTCCTAGCATAACTTCCCTCCTTTGTCCTTGAGTGGGCCAATCCTTTCTCTAGTTACCCACTTGCTCCTTATGTATGAATAAAAGGCTTTGGGATTTTCCTTAACCCTGTTTGCTAAAGATATTTCATGACCCCTTTTAGCCCTCTTAATTCCTCGTTTCAGATTGGTCCTACTTTCCCGACATTCTTCCAAAGCTTCATCTGTTTTCAGTCGCCTAGATCTTATGTATGCTTTCTTTTTCCTCTTTGCTAGTCTCACAATTTCACCTGTCATCCATGGTTCCCTAATCTTGCCCTTTCTATCCCTCATTTTCACAGGGACATGTCTGGAGATATGGATTCAAATTCCACCATGGCAAATGGTCAAATTTAAATTCAATATCAATCCAGAATAAAAAGCTGGCCTACTGATGATCCTGCTGACTGTGGTAAAAATCTCTCTGGTTCACTAATGCCCTTTAGGGAAGGAAATCTGTCAACCTTATCTGACATGTCCTACATATGATTGCAGACTCTCAACAATGCAGTTGACTGTTTAATTCAGGATATAGTATCTGACATGTCCTACATATGACTGCAGACTCTCAACAATGCAGTTGACTGTTTAATTCAGGATACAGATAAATGTTGGCCTCGCTGAGATGTCCTCTTCACATGAACAAATACCACAAAATGCACTGCTGCATTTTGGCATAGATAAAAGGAGTTGAAACTCGAGATAGCTCATGGCATTAGCTGAAGAGCAGAAAGTTCTCCTGGAGGTCTGTTGAAAATGTATTTCTCATTCCACAACAAGTAAACCAATTAACTCTTTGCTGGTGGAGAAAGGTTACTGAATGAAAATTGGCTGCTTTATATCCCTGAATCATCACTAAGGCAACAATTCAGAAATAGTCCAATGATTTACAGAAAGATAGTGGCATAATGGTAACGGCACTGGACTAGTAATCAAGGGGCTAATGATCTGGGGTCACTGGTTCAAATTTCACCCGGGCAACTGGTAGAATTTAACAGAAAATAGATAGAAATAAAATTATTAAAAAATTGGAATTGAAAGCTGTTCTCAGTGGTTCTCATAAAGACTCATTTGATGTACACAATCACTGTGTTTCAAAGCAATCCATTATAAAATCACAGGTAACTAGGGTTTTTCTAATTCAGAGCTGTAAAGTGGGAAGAAAATGGTAGGGAATTAATACAAAATTAATTAAGACTTTGCTGAATCACTTCAACTATTTCCTTCTTACTTTCATTTAGAGATTGCTGTGCAAAGATTCACCAACATTGATTGAAATTGCCTTCTCTGTAATAGAATGACTGAATTGTTGATCAATCATAGTGATCGACAAGGTCTTGTGGACATTGGTCACGCTTCTGTCCCTCAGGATGTGATGCCTATGGAGGTGTGTCATAACATGTCGAAAAGGGTTGATTAAAATCAAAGATGGTAATAATTATTTTCTATCAAGTAGTCTATGATAGACCCAGAAATCAGGTTAAAACAAAAACTCCTCAAAGCCTGTCCACCATCTACAAGGCTCAAGTCAGGAGTGTGATGGAATACTCCCCACTTGTCTGGATAGGTGCAGCTCCTCAACATGCTTGACACCATCCAAGACAAATCAGCCTGCCTCATTGGAAAATTCACCAAAGATTCTTAGACAACAACATCCAAACCCATGACCACTTCCATCTCGAAGGACAAAGGCAGCAGATACATGGGAACACCACCACCTGCAAGTTCCTCACCAAACCACTCACCATCCTGACTTGGAAACATATAACCATTCTTTCATGGGTCAAAATTCTGGAATTCCGTCCCTAAGGGCATTGTGGACATGCATGTAGACTGCAGTGGTTCATGAAGGTAGCCCACCCCACCTTTTCAAGGGCAATTAGGGACAGACGGTCTCTCAACGTAGGAGTGGATCCTGCCCGGGCATGCTCTGGAGGCAGCAGGAGATCGGGGAGGCGGCAGCATCAGCAATAGCACTGTGGCCCAACGTGGGAAGAGCGAGTAGTGAGGGAGGTGACCTGGTATCTGTGGCAGCGGCGTCGAGAACAGGCAGCTGAGATCTTCTCCTGAGCGAGCTAAGACTCAAAGACTGTTGAACTTTTAACTTTATTCCTTTTCTTTCTAGTTTATATTAAGAAAGGTTTTAATGTTAATTGTTAGATTTTTTTCTTTATTTTTCTACTAATTCCGTGAAGGTAATGCTTAACTTTTTAAGCTTTGTTTCCTTTATGTCTTTGTACCCAGGTATCTTTGTACCTAAGATGGCGCCATTTGTGGTGCCATGATACACTTTTCACTATACTCCTGTGTTTGAGTACATGTGACAATAAAATCTAAATCTAAACCTAAACCTAAATCTAAATCCTGGCCCAGCCAACAATACCCATGTCCCACGAGTCAATAAATGAGAACTGCAATGCTGAAGTGCTTACCCTAATTCAGGAACAAACTCAATGTTACAGTTCACACCTTCTCTTAATGTAAGCAATCCCAAAACCAGCGAAGAACAAATGCGCCAATCACAAGACAGGAAACCACTTGCTCAGATGTTAATTGTTGATTTATTAGATTTCAAGTTGCAACCGTCATCTTGATCCTTCAACGCAGCTCATCAGTCCATATGTAACATATAAATACCAAACTCAAACCACACACGACAGAGCTGCTCAGAGGTACCATACAATAGTATCATCATCATCATAGGGGAAAAATAGTTTTATTATTTAACAAACTTCTTTTCTTCTTCTTCTTAAAAAGTGCTCATGTAAAATTACAAATCTAGGCAAAATTGACAGTGTAAATGAACAGCTTTGTCTGGTCCTCAGGAGGCTCAAAACAACATAAGCCACTGAAAATAGCAAAGCATCTGTGGCCACAGTTCCGTAGACAGCCTATTTTATCATAGTCAAATTCATTCATATAAACCATTATTTTGGTCCAGTGCATTGATAGGGTGTCCTCGCGCTAACAAATAAATAAATTCCATTTATATCTAGAACATTCCCATTGTTGTAGATTAGCTAAAAGCACCAAAACTGACTTTTAGCAAAACCAAACAAAAAAAATCCAGCAGCTTTGTTTTTACAGGACCTACAAGATCCAAGAAAATGTCTCATTGTAAAACTTCAATTTCTTTTTCTTTTAAATAAAATAACCTACTCTCACTTTCCATTATTTTTCACATCGGCTACATCACAGGGGGAGAAAAGCATGTGTTGAAATAATAATTTAAAAAAAAACACAAAAAAAACGTTGGAATGAACAGTGATCAAAACCCCCACAGGGAGCTTGCTTGGGTGCATTGGTTTCAGTTGTTCTCCAGGGACTGCCTGTTCCATTCTTCTTTCCAGTGTTCAATAATGGGGTGGATGACTGTAGGGATTCGATGGTTGTTGGGGCTGATTACCTGGCAGAGGACGAAGGTCGCACAAGCATCACAATCAGCTACACATCACTGCGATTCAACTGTTATTCAAAGCGGAGAGAGGTTAGCACAATATTACAAAGCATTTCTATGGGCGGGAGAGAGAGAGAACCGGTCAGAACAATTACGAGACAACAACCTCACCATCAGACTGCATGATGATCTGCGATGGGGAAGGGAAGGAGGAGGAGGAGAGAAAGGGAAAACAGGCGGAGAGGTGAGAACATTGCTTGGGCAACTCAAACAAGGAATTCAGCCTGACCATCTGGCTTCACTGATTCGAGCCAAGTATAGTTCCGAGGAAGGGTCGCTGGACCCGAATCTTTAATCTCATTTCTCTCCACAGACGCTGCCAGGCCTGCTGAGCTTTTCCAACAATTTCTGGGTTTTTTGTTTTCCTGATTTCCAGCATCCACAGTTCTTTGGTTTTTATTAATACAGTTTATAAATTGCCCAGGATGCAATGTTCATTTAGAATTCAGTTGCTGCTCAGTTTCCTGCCTGGCTATTTCTTCATTAATTTGCGGGATGAGGACATTGTCAGCTATGCCAGCATTTATTGCCCATCCCCGCTTGCTCAGGCAGCTGTTAAAAGACACCCACATCGCTGTGGATTTGGAGTCACATGTAGGCCAGACCAGGTGAGGATGGCAGATTTCCTTCCTTAAAGGGCATTAGTAAACAATGGATTTTTTAAAAAATTGAATTCAAATTTCACCGTCTGCCCTGGCGGGATTCAAACTTGGGTCCCCAGAACATTACCTGGCTCTCTGGGTTAACAGTCCAGTGATGATACTGCTCGGCCATTGCCTCCCCTTAAAGTGCTATGTTGTGTTTCATGTTGTGAATTGTTTTGTTGGCTAAAGGATCATATTGGTACCAGTAATCATCACGTGTAATTTGTTGGCAATGTCCCAAATAGTTTAAGGATACAAAATGCAAACTGTGCCTGACTATCATGCCCACCAACGTTGATTCCCCAAAGCCTGTCCACCATCTTGAAGGCATAAGTCAGGAGTGTGATGCAATACTTCCCACTTGTCTGGATGATTGCATCTCCAATAACAATCAAGAAACTCAAAACCATTGGGACAACTGTCCATTTGTTTGGCATCCCATGCACCAATTTAAATGTTCTCTCTTTCCAACACTAGCACACACTGTGTACCACCTACAAGATGCACTGCAGCACATTACCAAAGCTCCTTAGAAAGCACCCTCCAAACCCCTGATCTCTTTTACCGAGAAGGATATGGGTGGAAGACCGATGGGAACATCACCACCTGCAATTCCCACTTCAAACAACAGACCATTGACTTTGAACTGTATTGACATTCCTTCCGTGTTCCTGGATCAAAATCCTGGAACTTCCTTCTTAATGGCACTGTGTGAGTGCCCGTGCTGGCTGCTCAAAAGCAGTTTGAGATGACTATTAGGGATGGACAATAAATGGGTGATGGTACCAGCGAGACCGACAGCCCACAGAAGAATAAAAACTTACTATTGAGTATTTGTTTCACCATCGTCTTTGCCTGCATGCTTACCTATATCTAGAAGTTTTGTGATTCTGATCCCTTCGCTCATTCTGACCTTTCCCAATAATCTTAGACCTCTTCCCTCTGATCTCTTACCCTCTTTCTACAAAGTGACATCATGATAGGATGACTTGAGTTTCTGTACTCTTCATTCATTCACTCTAATTTGTCCCCCCCACTGAAGTCTAATGCTCCATTCCCATAGTTTCGAAGGCCAGCAAAGGTAAATGCTGAAGAAGTGTTCTGACTGGAAGGCTATTAATGAAGAGGCGGACTGGTCCACTGGGCACCTGCAAGAACTTCGGTTTTGGGCATCTTCTTGTTTTCCTTTTCTTCATGGTTTCACCGTATCAAAGTGGGTTTCCTCCGGGTGCTCTGGTTTCACCCCACAGTCCAAAGATGTGCAGGCTAGGTGAATTGGCCATGCTAAATTGCCCATAGTGTCCAGGGATATTAAGGCTAGGCAGATTAGCCATAGGAAATTTAGGGATAGGGTAGGGGGTTAGGTCTGGTTGGGATGCTCTTTGGAGGGTCAGTGTGGACCCAATGAGCTGAATGGATTCTATGATAAATATGTGCAAAGTTTAAACTGGTATCTGATATACTAATTATCCAGAATTTTGATTCCTTTCTAAAATTGATACTTACTAGAGAGCTGTTTTTGTAGCTGTCGAACCAGCGCTGCTGTCTGTTGCTGCTGCTGGGTCTGTTGCATTCCCTGTCTGGAAAACTGCATGAGGAAAAAGAAACACATTATCAGCACTTAATCTGTCAATACTTCCAGTCTCCTCAACAATTATTACTCATGGCTGTGATGTTCTGCCTGTGAGTGGGAGAATGTTAAGAGCTTATCCACCAGGGAGGCTCACTGTAATTTAGCAAAGATGGCACATAAATCTCATTCTTATTTCCAAAGCATTGCTGGCAAAAATTGTATCTTGTTGCTCTTCATTGGCCTCTGTTCAGTGATAATATTCAGACTGTCAGATGGTATAGATCTAGGCATTTTCAGTCACACTGTCAAACACAACAATAACTTGTATTCCAGCCACTGACTCCATCTATAGTTCCCACAGCCTCGGGAAAGCAACCAACATAATCCACAACCTCTCCCACCCCGGTTATACCCTCTCTCACCCCGGTTATACCCTCTCTCACCGGGCAGACAATACAAAAGTTTGACTACACGTATGAATAGATTCAAGAACAGCTCCTTCCCCGCTGTTATCAGACTTTTGAAGTCACATGCTTGCCTTTATTGATCAGTGCACTGAGAATCGGAGCTGGGAGGTCATGTTGCGGATGTACAGGACATTGGTTAGACCACTTTTGGAACACTGCATTCAATTTTGGTACCCCTGCTACATGGTGTGAAACTTCAAAGGGTTCAGAAAAAACTTACAAGGATGTTCCTAGGATTGGAAGGTTTGAGCTATAGGGAGAGGCTGAATAGGCTGGGGCTATTTTCCCTAAAGCATCAGAGGCTGTGAGATGACCTTATAGAAGTTCATAAAATCATGAGGGGCTTTGCTAGAGAAAATAGCCAAGGTCTTTTCACCAGGGTAGTGGAGTCCAAAACTAGAGGGCATAGGTTTAAGGTGAGAGGGGAAAGATTTAAAAGGGACCTGAAGGGCAACTTTTTCATGCAGAGGGTGGTGCATGTATGGAATGAGCTGCCAGAGGAAGTGGTGGAGGCTGGTATTGCTACAACTTTTAAAAGGCATCTGGATGGTTATATGAAAACAAAGGGTTTAGAGGAATATGGGCTAAATGCTGGCAAATGGGACCAGAATAATTTATTCGGCATGTACGAGTTGGACCGAAGGGTCTGTTTCCATGCTGTAAAGCTCTATGACTCTCAAATTCTGATCTCTCCCTCTGCACCACCTCTGCGGCTGTAACACTGTATTCTGTGATAACAAGGTGTAGAGCTGGATGAACACAGCAGGCCAAGCAGCATCAGAGGAGCAGGAAAGCTGATGTTTCAGGTCTGGACCCTTCTTCAGAAGATTTTCTGAAGAAGGGTCCAGACCTGCAATGTCAGCCTTCCTGCTCCTCTGATGCTGCTTGGCCTGCTGTGTTGATCCAGCTCTACACCTTGTAATCTCAAATTCTCCATCATCGGCAGTTCCTACTAACACTGTATTCTGTTCTACTTCCCTGAGGAACTTTTTATGGTACGTTCTGCCAGTGTATCACGCAAAACAACACTTTTCACTGTATATCGGTACATGTGACAACAATGAATCATTTATATAGCACGTTTAAGGTAGTAAAATGAACCAAGATACATCACAGCAGAATTATTAACCTGCCTACATAAGGACAGACCATTTCAGGACTTGGTTAAACAAGAGCACCTTAAAGGAGATTTGGTACTGAGATGAGGAGTAATTCCTTCTTTCAAAGGCTGTGAACCTTTGGACTTTGCTACCTCACAGGGATGTGATGTCTCCAGTGAATAAATTTAATGCTGGAATAGACAGATATTTGGTCTCTTAAGGAACCAAAACATGTGGGGAACAGGCAGGAAGGTGGAACTGAAACCCAGGATTAGTCATGGTTGGGGCAGGCCATTTAGGAGTGAGATGAGGAGAAATTTCATCACCCAGAGGGCGGTGAGCCTGTGGAATTGTCTGCCAAAGAAAATAATTGAGGCTAAAACATTACATGTTTTCAAAGGCTTAGGAGATTAAAGAGTATGGGGAAAAAGTGGGAACAGGGTACTGAGTTGGATGATCAGCCATGATCATACTGAATGGTGGAGGAAGCTCAAAGGGCAGAATGGCCTACTCTTGCCCCTATTTACTAAGTTTGTGTTGAATGGCAGAGCAGGATCAACAGGCTGCATGATATAATCTTGCTCTTAGCATTTGTCCTCTTGTGAGGGAGTGGTAGAGAGTTATGGATGTTCAGGGAGGGAATTCTAGAGTTTGGGGCTTGGGCACTTGAAGGCATTGCCATTGATGGTGAAGTGATTAAATTCACAGGTCAGCAAGAGGTCAGATTTGGCAGAATGAGCAGACCTTGGAGATTTACACAGATAGAGAGAGAAAGAGATGTGACTATTGGGGAATCTGAAGGACAAGAATTATGAAAACAAAAATCAAGAAATTGCTAAACTGGACACAGAATCCAAATAATGTTGTGAACAATATAAAGGAATGCAAGGCTTTCTCTCTCTCTCACACACTCCCTCTCTTTGCCAGGTCTGCTAAGTCATTCTCCAAACTCCTGAATTTCCCTCTCCTGTTTAAAATCCATTGTGGATCTGGGAGTGCCCCATCCAGATTTGTCTATCAGCCACTGTTCCCTACTTGACCGCCTGACATCTTTCCATGCGTTTCTTTTTGATTTGGAAGCTATCAAATATGAATTCTTCATTTAGAAACTAACATTCCAATAAAAACCAGGCCGACCATTCCACTGACAGGCAGATCGCTATTTGTAATAAAAATAAAAGACCCAACTCAGATGGTCTCTGACCAAGAGAGAAAACCAAAAGAACTGTGGATGCAGGAAATCAGAATCAAATACAGAGATTTTTGGAGAAACTCAGCAGATCTGCCAGCATCCGTGGAGAGAAATCAGAGTTAACATTTCGGGTCCTTCTTCAGAACTGACCCTTCTTTAGTTTTTCCAGCAACCTCTGTTTTTCCTTCTGATCATAATAAGTGCGAGGGAGTAGGATTCTGGTCAAAATAGGTGGAAGGAGAATCAAAGAAATGGAGGACACAGAGGTGATGGGGAATTGAGGCACGTGGGCAAAAGTGAGGAATAAATGGGATAATGATGATTTCTGAACAAAGAGCAGATGTGGGCCGTGGGAGCATGCTCCGAGATTCAGTAAGATTATGGCTGATCTGATTACTCCATATTGTGGACTAACGCCAATAATCTTTTTCCCCTTTACTTATCGAGAAGGTAAGCTTGACAAGAGTTGAATGATCAGGCAACAGGAATTTTGGAGCGAATCCAGTGAAGCAGAAGAATTAGAGAGGAGCATGAAAATGGAGGAACAGTGCAAAATAGGGGAAGACTACACAATGAGGAAAAACAGAAATGGAGAAAGGGATAGTTAAAGGAAACAGAGAAACAATGAGGTAAAGAGTAGTGAAGGCTGACATCCAAGATAATCACTTCACATTGTTTGTATGAAAATACTTCCAGCTGCTGTTTGCTGAATTATGATTTACTAAGTGAAGTATAATAAGAAGTTATAAAAAAATCCCCCAAGGAAAGTGGGTAGTGTCCTTGCCTGTAGGCCAAGAGCTCCGAGTTCAAGTCCCAATGAAGGACTTGATGGCCAAGAAAGGTGTATCCATAACATGGCAACAAGGTTGATTTTCAACCTACAAATTCCACCCAACACATGACAAAAACAGGCAATAAGAACCAGAGAAATTCCTGGTCAACCATGTGAAGGAACAAACAGAAGAGAGCCTCAAATACTTCAACAGACTTCAACATGCATGTAGTCATGGCAACTCAGACTCCCTGGGTTTACTGCAACATACCATCATCATACACAAAATAATAAGTGTTCGAAATTTTTCTAACAGTTTCTGTTCCAGATTCAGACCTATTTATAGAGTCATAGAGATGTACACCACGGAAACTTACCCTTCAGTCCAACTCGTCCATACTGACCAGATATTCTAAATTAATCTAGTCTCATTTGCCAGCATTTGACCCATATCCCTCTGAACCCTTCATGTTCTTGTACCCATCCAGATGCCTTTTAAATGCTGTAATTGTACCAGCCTCCTCCACTTCCTCTGGCAGCTCATTCCATACATGCCTCTCGTGAAAATGTTGCCCCTCCGGTCCCTTTTAAATCTCTCCCCTCTCACCTTAAACCTATGCCCTCTGGTTTTGGGCTCCCCCACCCTGGGGAAAAGATCTTGACTGTTCACCCTATCCAGGTCCCTCCTGGTTTTATAAACCTCTATAAAGTTCGCCATGCAGCCTCCGACGCTGCTCCCGAGTTTAAAATTCACGTTGGTTCTATAACTGTCATTCACAGACCTCACTGTCTGTAATTCTTATTCCCTCCCCTTTTTACTGATGACCAAGCAAATGAAACAGTATCATAAATCAGGCATCTAAAACCCTGGTCAGATCCTACTTGGAATACTGTCAGCAGCTCTGGGCACTACATATTATGAATGATATACTGGCCCAGGAGGAAATGTATCACAGGTTTACAAGAGCGATACCTGGACTTCAGGGGTTAAGTTACGAGGACAGATTATACAAATTAGGCCTGTTTTCTCTCGAATTTAGAAGGTTAAAGTCTTCAAGATATTAACAGGAAAAGACAGGGTAGATAAAGATAAACTATTTCTGCTGGTGGAGGATTCTAAAATGAAGGAGCCCGGTCTGAGAATTAGGGCCAGACTATTCTGGAGAGATGTTAGGAAGCACTTCTACACTCAAAGGGTATTGGACGTTTGAAACTCTCTTCCACAAATGACAGTTTATGCCAAATCAGTTGTAAATTTTAAATCAAAGATGGATACATTTATTTAAGCAAAGGGCATTAAGGGACATGGGCCAAAAACAGGCATAAGGAGTTAGGTCACAGATCAGCCATGATCTCATTGAATGATGGAACAGGCCCAAGGGGCTGAATGGCCTCGTCCTGTTCCTATGTTCCTATAATTGATTAAGTCGTTAGTGTACAAATTGCTACATTCAAGTCATTCATCATTTAGCAACTACAGCTGT